TTTAAGTCAAGACAGATTATGAGGACCTTGTATTCACAGTTTTTATGGTGTCTCTGTCATATTTCCAAACAAATATTTTTCAAATGTTACAGCTTAAACTCTTAACCTGCAAATGGTGTCACACATTCTATCAGGCAACCAGTAAAGATCAGAGCCAGCATAATTATCCTTTAAAACATTTTGAAATCTAAAAGATTTTGAATTATTTCGCTAAAATTGAAGTCCGTAATTTTATAATATCAATAGGGGTATTAAGGATTAAATGCCCAGCAGCTGAAAGGGTGGCTAACCTTACTTTTTATTTTGAAATACATGTACATGTGCCTAAGATAGCATTTATACCATTCTATAGAATAGCATATAAATTTATAATTACCATAAAAAATAATTTTAGCTTATCCCTTAATACATTTTTAAATAAAGTGGTATAGGCTATATTATTCTCTATTGAGGACATTGATTCTCTTCAAACTTTTACTGATTATTCTTACTTTCATTATTTTTTATCATTCTAAACATGACTTGCACATATTATGATCTTATTTTATAATGGCTACATATATTTTATGTGATTTAAAAGTAATGTTTTATTTTATCCAATTATTACATCCTATAAATAAGATGTGAGTTTGAGATACTTCCGTTTTGCACAAAGAAAATAATTAAAATTGCTCGAAATTTGTGTGGAAAACAGTTGTAACTTGAGATACTACCCTTTTGCACAAAAAAATATGTAACAAATTATCAAAATTTTATTTGCAAAACGGTTGTAACTTGAACTTATTCAAATATCTTTTTTCAAAAATAATTTGCTTCTTTTTTCTTATTTTGTTTCTAATTCCTTAACTAAAATGTATATATTTTCCAAAAATAAAACATTTTTATTCATTAACAAAAGTTTAAAAAAGTTTTTTCATGCTCCTGTAAAATTTGCTTAAATTGAGTTACAACCGTTTTGCGCTAAGCCCGCGATATTAAGATCTCTCCTAGATATTCACCATTCTATAAGACATCTGCTTTTTATCTTAATGCATTTAAAGCCCAGAATGCACGTTAAATAATAATACAATGCAACATATCTCAGTCTACCACTGAAGATCTATGAATATTTGGTATAAGGGCTTTTATATATCGTAATAACTTTCGTATTGAAAACCTCTTTAAAAATCTTAATGTTTTGGAAAACAAAATTTGATACTTATCTAAAATTGCAAATTTTATAATAGATACAGTCTGTACACTGAATTATTAGAGTTTAAAGTTTGTACAGATCATGATAAAAGCCAAAACTAGAAAATGTTTGAGGCACTGATCCTAGATAGTTTTCCAATGCACGCAGATGCAAATGACGTTACTTATGGATGCTACATTTTAATAATAAAGGTTTGGAACTTTACCCTGCGAGAATTCCATGAATAATTCATGAACTGTTCATGAACATATCCATGGACAAGTTCATGAATGTGCATGAACAACAAATGAGACTTTTTTTCGTTCACGGACAATTCATGAATCAAGATATTCATGAACATGTTCATGAATATATGTTCATTAACATTCATGAATATATCGATTCATGAATTGTCCATGAAAGAAAAAAAGTCTCATTTGTTGTTCATGCACATTCATGAACTTGCTCAAATGCACATTCATGAAATTGTTCATGAATATGTTCACGAACAATTCAAAAAACTTCTCCCAGGGGTCATAATAATGTGACATCACAAATCAATTTTTTCATTTAATTCTAAGACTGCTGATTTGTACCAGCCATAAAATGCACAATAGACAGTGTTTTAGTACAAATACAAAACACAAAAGCCCATTACACAGGTAATGAAACTTGTTAAACACTGTGCTCATTGATTCCCTATGTACAAATTGAATTTCATTAGAATTCACGACTTGCCAGTATGCTCTTCAATTTATTTCTTTGACACAATTTTCCATAAGATTTTATATAGTCCATTATGTAAATACATCACTTTTTCTTCATTTTTGCTAAGTCATTGTTATTTATTCCATTTTTAAGTAAGTTTGCACCGAAAGTTTGTTAAAACACATGTAGAGCTTTGTTTCTGGCGGCCATGTTGACTTTTGCATTATGGGTGTTACCAAGGTCAGCCAACTCTTGTTGATGATCAGTGAGTTCATGAACTCACGAGAGTTCATGAACTGAAATTTTTCAGTTCATGAACTGAAATTTTTTCTAACACTAAAAAGTATTCACAAAAAATAGTGGGTTAAAATTGTAAAGACAAATTTGTTTTTAAAGTTCATGATTATTGTCAGCTTGTTCATGAACATACCAAAATGTTCATGAACAGAGCAAGAATGATGCCAAAATGTTCATGAACACATCAACATGATCATGAACAGACATACATATTCATGAACTTGAATTTTTCATGAATATTTGTTCATGAACATTTCTGCCAAGATGATGAACAATTGAAAGATGTTCATGAATATTCATGATCTGTTCATGAAAATTCATGAATTGATGAACATGCTTTCGCAGGGGTAAATAATGCTTTAATAATCTTTATTTATAAAGGGGCTTATGTTAAATGCCTATTATCTTTTAATCTAGACAAAACCATTCATCATATCTAGGAATCATATCAAAATATGTAAAATATATATTGAATGCCAAAAGCGAACAGTCGCTGCAGAACATGATAAGACAACAAAGATGCAGTCTAATCTTGGTCTGCACTTGTTGCATGGATAGAATCAGTTACCACTAGCACTGGCTTATAATGGGCTAATTAAATAACATATGTAGAGACCTATCATTAACTGCATTAGTTCAACTTTAAATTACTGATCTCCTTTAAATAGCAATAATAATAAAGACTACATTTCCTTCAAACTTCAGTAAACCCAGTGAAAGTAATCTGAATGTGAATCTGCTTGCAAAACAATGTCTTAAACACGCCGAAAAATAGCTTAACCCAAGCCTTTTTTTTCCTGGCCCATTATTTTCCAGTGATATTCAAATGTCTTATGCATTGTTCATGCAGAAATGATGAGGGAAGTATTGTCAGACAGCTGAAAAATTTACATGAGAACTGGCATTGACAATGCATGAAGAGATCTTTTTTAAATAAGAAAGGAGTTACTGTGTCGTATATATCACAATGATAAATGTATATCTATGACAATGATATTTTTTTTTACATTTTTTTTTTAAAAGTTCCATCTCCTTTCATCATGGTTTGTTAAATTCTACGACATAACGGAACCATTTGACATTTTCTTCGTCAGAGTTCTAAGATTGCTATGGAATTAGTCAATTGATTATCTGTCCATAGCATTTGGATTAATTTTCTAGTTGTGAGAATCAATAAGTATATTTTGCAAATGATACTTTTTTAAAGAACAGGATATTAAAACTACAGACCATGTAGAAAATTGATCTTTAAAGAAAGTATCTAATAATATTGATTTCGTACTTAATCATCTTAGGAATCAAAAAATTAAAACCCTTAAAATTTTAATTTTTTTCCTATCCCCAAATAAATTAATTCTTTTGATTTTCACTATGGAAACTTATAACCCAAAAAAAACTTTTGTAAGAACCCTTGCTGCAGTAAGAGAAAACCCCTTAGTCTTTGACAACAAATTTCCCCTTTGGTTTTTTGGACCCAATGGTCTAAAGTATCTTTTTCAGGGAAAAATTTTGGGCAAAGGGACAATGTACATATCAAATTTTAAGGTAAATCATATCCAAATTTGTTTCAAAATTACTACCGCTGGCAATTACTTGCAGAAAAGTAGTGCTGCATGGTAAACAGAAATAATTCATTTAAAATCCACGCTAGACTTATGGCTCTTGGTCAGTAAACTTACAATTTATAATGAACATGAAGCCATGTGTGAGGCACCATGCAAAGTTTCAACATATAATAACCTTCAGTGGTTGAGAGATAAGGACTATAAGCATACACAAATCTCTTAATCAAAAACATAATTATTTAGTTCACTTAACCACAAGTAAACACTTTGGGTTTTGGACAGTGACTTATTCATAAACTGAATAATTAATCATTTGTGAAGTTTCAAGTAAATTTCTTTAGTGGAGAATAAAAACACAACCTGAATGTAACACAGTAATATTTCTTGTAAGGTAAGTTTGACTGCCAAATTAATACTATTTTTCAATTTTTCTAGCTTAAATTCTGAAGTATATTTTTAAATAATGCCCTCTCTATCATCATAAAACTGCCACAGTCTTTGAACTTCAAGTGGGACTCTTTTTCTTCACGCTAAACTAGGTTTCAGATTCAAACCCTACTTGTGACACTGTAACCCTGTCTCTTCATGCAATGTCTTAAGTCCTTTAACTTCCTGAAGCATAGAGCCAAAAACAGCCTGCAAATCCATGCAATCTGACCATGCTCTATAATGTTGACTGACAAACTTCAAATTTTCATTTTGATATCATCAAAACTGATTATGGACAGTTCAAAAAACAGAAGCTGGTCAAGTCCATTTATAAGACATGGCTGGGTAAGGGTTAGTGAACTAAGGTCAGAACAGAAATTTAACACATATTGCTATGATTCAGATGACCACTAATTAAGTTTATTCTACTAATAGTTTATTCACACAAAGCTACAGATTACATGTAGGAAAAGAAAAGAATAATTAACCCTTTCACTGCCATAGGGACGGCTTAAGCCGTCCCTGTTATTTTCGGCGTATTTGCCATATGGACGGCTTTAGCCGTTTCTATAATAATTATAGTAATAATAATAAATTAATAATAATAATAATAAAAAAAAATGATAAATATAAAGAAAATTATACCATCGACAATAATTATTATTATACTAACAATTTTTGAAACATATATAATTATTATTATACTAATAACAAGTAATAATAATTATATTAATTAATAATATAGTTATTTCTTAGAAAATCCTCTGGCAAATAGGTGAACAATAAATTAATAACCCTCTGGCAGCGAAAGGGTTAACAAGAAATCTTACCACAAAGTCTGATCAGATGTTGACTGGCCCTCTCTTCTACACTCCTGGGGGAAACGGGAAACCCTTCCTCGGTATAGATTTTTAACCCATGCTGCGTTTCTGTGACGGGAAAGGAATGCATTGTTCAAAAAATTCTTTAAAAATCCTATATATAAAACCATTAAAATTCACAAATTTAAATTTGGCCTGTTTTTTAAAAACTTTTTTTATTTTTCCAATAATAAATAAATTCCAATGGGAAAAGCTGAGAGATAAGCAAATCCTTGGAAAAATTTAAGAGGTTTTTTTAATTAGGAAAGTTTTTTTTGCTGCAAGAAAATAAAAAAAAATTTATATTAACTTTTCCCTTTTAAACAAATTGAAAAAAATCAGCTTTTTGTTTAAAATTTCTAAAAAATTTTCTTTCGGTTTTGTTGTTTTTTGTTTTTTATGTACCCTTTAGAAAACATACATTTTAAAAGTTGCATTTAAATTTTCCCCATAACATTTTAATAAAATCTTTTTTTTTAATTTCAAAGCAGCCCAGTAAAATAAAGCCTTTATATTGAAAAATTGAATAATCCCAAACTAAGTTTTAAAAAAGCATTTTTTACACACAAAAGGGGGGGGGTTGTTTTTCCCCAAGTTGAAAAAAGATTGCTCCCCCAGTAGAATTCCTTTCTCAGACAGATCCACTGTCAGGGAGCAAAAATCATCAAATTGGGCTTAACAAAAACTTAATTCCCCCAAATCCCAATTAATCCCCCCCCGGATAATAATCACCCCTCTCACTCAATTTTGTATTTCCACCCAAATAGATATTAAAATTTTCCCAAATTTAAAAGGGTTTTGATATTTTTAACGAAAAAACCCTTTCCTTTCATTTCCTTATTTTCCCTTTTCATTTGTTTTTAACACAGACCCTTTTCCCCATGGACGAGGGGATAGCAAATTGACCAATATCACATTAGTTTAAACATTGCGAATATGAAAGTCTAAACAGATCTGTCTTTTCAGACAAGTTTGTCTCTTCGTCTAAATAAACCAGACATTTTCAGTAGTGAGCTATGTAATTCCATAGATACTGGTCTTTTGTCTACTGTTCAAAACCTGCTCCAGATTTCTGCAGCCTTTCCTCGAAAAAATTGTTCCAAATATTTGTTTTGATCATAAGCTTTTATGTCTTTTTAAAGTTGTTATAGAAAAAATTATTAATCCTCTAAAGTCTGCTCAAAGTCTCCCAAATGATTTCATTTAAACTTTTAATTTGTAACGATTCTAAAACTGGTAAAGAATGATGTAGAAATTAGTCTGTTGAACTAACTAAAATAAACTAACTTATATATATCAAAAAGCAAAAAAAAATTTGAAGAATGTTTAAATTGTAAAAAAAAAAAAATGCTTCCATGAATTACAAAATTTTCTAAGTAAATTATATCAACTAGATAACTTTTGTAATTGTCTCGACAATTAATCAATGATGTAACATTATATGCTTTTGACTGAAAACAAGCACATAATAATCCCAAACAATGCAGCAGGACTCTTCAATTACATTCCACTTCCATTAAAATAACAAGTTGCGATAATTAGCTTCACAGTAAATAGCGAGCTTTCATTTGAAATACACTAAAAACAATCAATTAATCACTTGCACATTAAATATAGCACTATAATTATATTATCTTACTCATAGAAAAATATTTCCAATACAGTTCAACCTCTCGCCCTTAATATTCCTATAAATATCTCTCTTTTTTGTCTCAATCACTGTGTATAAAGCTGTATTATAAAGCCATTTCTAAGACGGATATTTTAAAATCAAAATTCAACCATCCAATTCTCTATCAAATTTTTTGCTTCATTAAGCTTGTTGAGAAACACGCCCATGTATTGATATTTCGTGTCATAGTGTCACTAAATTCCATTACGGAGAAACTATTTTACGAGGGGAAGAAAAACAAATTTCCCTTTTAACATGTCATCATTAACAAAGATGGAATTATTTGAATGATAATCAATTGGGATAAAAAAAAATTCTTGAAGCATCATCAAAGGCAGCAGTGCTTTAATCCTGCCTGCCAATGGTTCAAATTATGTAATTTGACTGGATAACTCACTCACGTCATTTTAGTTTCTACAAATTAACGAAGATAATTAACTTTAATTAAACATTGGTGATTTAATTCTCATTAGCGTATCTGACATCAAAAATAGAACAAATTTTTCTTAAGACACATTTATCTTTCAGCAGTTTTGCGATAATTAGTTTTTAAAAATAAATCTTTAAATTCTCCAGTTAAATAACAGACTCAACAAATAAACACCAACAAAGTCACTTGTGATGTCCAGTATTCCAAATCTATAAATCTATGTTCTATGAATAACGATGTAAGTTATAAACAGTGGCTGCAAAAAAAAACAACTGAAACACAAAGTATGGTAATAAGCTGCCAATAGCAGAACTAGATATAAACCATTTCTTATAAACCACTTTCTTTTCAATCTGTCAGGAACAGCAGACAACAAGAAACTTTGCAAACGGACAGAAAAATATTGCCCAAATAATCCTTGGTAATACGTCTTTATATGTGAATCTAGTACAATCTACAGTATGACATAAATCCCCGCATATTTCGTACAAGCCGCCTTACGACTCTCTGAAGCACTTTATGTGAGCTTTACGATTCAACGTTTGATCTATGACTCGTAACCTTGCTTCCTAATGCTTAATCATTCTCGTTCCAATATCGAACATAATCAAACTCAGATACAACCAGGGGTGCACAATATCAGTCTCTCTCCTACTTCTGACATTTACGAAAGATTGTCATCCATTTTCTGTCAAAATTCTCGAAAAAAGAAATAACCAAGAAATACACACATAACTGACTTCGGTTTCAGCTATTTGGATGCTATTTTAAAATCAATACTAAATAGTTCCCTGTCTGCTTTAAATGAGACAAAATTGAACAGTCTATATCCTATACAAGAATATATGGGATTCATTTATGGCAACAGACTGATTAAATAACTTTTGAAAGACAAATATGCCAGACAACTTTTTATATATGTACAGCAACTTAACCATTTTAACAACAACAAAATAAAAAACTCCCAACAAAATTTCATCAAAATCATAAATCAATGTTAATAGTAAATTGAGTTTAAATCTTAATTTTGCTTTTCAAGAAGTGACTAAATTCAATAAGTTCAAAGAAAATTGGATTCCGATACAAAGATCCGTACAACTACTGATGTCTAAATAAATTTTATGTATACAGCATGCCACCAACTTGTCCTCTAGCTGTAAATACGATCAATATAGTTTGCATACATCTCTGTTGCATTTCCATAAAAGTGGTGAACTGAAAATTCAGGAATAAATGCATTCAGGCCATCACACAGTGAAGCAAAAATAAAACTCCAGATGGAATAATGGTTATTGATGAAGTGTCGGCAAAAATCTCTTAAAACAGCAAAAAAAAATGTTTTGGACCAAAGATGCAGAGAAAGAAAGAGCATGGCTGCCTTATGTAAATTGTGATTATAGATCTTTATGAAAAAGAGAAAAAGTGCATATGACTGCTTTAGAAGTTCTATGTAAAATGTTATCAAACATCTTTATAAAAAAAAAGAAAGAAAGCACATGACCGACTTAGATATTTATGAAAAAGAGAGAAAAAGCATGACTGCCTTATGTAAAATGTAATACATCTTTATGAAAGAGAGAAAGTCGCATGACTGCCAAATCGCATGACTGCCTTATGTAAAATGCCATATGTAAAATGTTATCATAGATCTTCATGAAAAAGAGAGAAAGCACATGACTGCCTTATGTAAAATGTTATCTTAGATCTTTATGAAAAAGAGAGAGAGCCAATGACTGCCTTATGTAAAATGTTATCATAAATCTTTATGAAAAAGAGAGAAAGAGCATGACTGCCTTATGTAAAATGTTATCATAGATCTTTATGAAAAAGAGAGAGAGCCAATGACTGCCTTATGTAAAATGTTATCATAAATCTTTATGAAAAAGAGAGAAAGCGCATGACTGATATGTAAAATATTATCATAAATCTTTATGAAAAAGAGAGAAAGAGCATGACTGCCTTATATAAAATGTTATCTGAGATCTTTTTGAAAAAGAGAGAAAGCCAATGACTGCCTTATGTAAAATGTTATCATAGATCTTAATGCAGATGAAAAAGCTTTATAAAACTGTACTTCAAAAGTTTCAATAGTATTATACTGACATGGTGATAGTGTGCATCATAATAAGTGTCTGTTGCCAGTCATATGATATAATGAATATTATAAATTTCTTCACAAGTGAGAGTCAAGTCCCTGTCAAAGACAAGCACTATATACCAAAGTGTCATCACCTCCACCGGTTATTCAATTCTAACTAATAATTTATTGTGATTGACAATTTTAGTGTATAATGGAAGTACTGATAGAAAAATGTTGGGTCGAGATTAATTTAATAATTTAATATTTAATTACTGACAACATTGCGTGTCATGGAATATTGCATAAAGAGACATAGTGCATTCACTGTTCAGTGACTTATAACCTATAAATGCTGGAGATGAAACAGAACTTTATATGTTGGAATTTGATTTGCCTTTTACCTAATAATGATGCTTTCAATTTGAAAACGTTTATTGTTTATTCAATTTTTAGAAATAAAGTATCAAAATTAAACATTTAACAGTACAATTAAGTATCTGGTGACTCAGGTGAGATTTCTTGCCTGGTATAAATGCCTTCAGTGTTGCATCTAGGCCGCGCGATTGCATTTTTTATGCAGATCGCACGTTTTTATGAAGTCAGTGCGCGCCAAGTCGCGCATCTGACAGTCTTTTCAACTTAATTCAGTTTATCTTCATCGTATCTTGAACGCTTCAGCCATGTTTGTTTTCACTCGTGGTTATGACTAAAATACGTACTAAATCCCGTGTAGCAGCCGAATGAGTCATCTCACGTGTGTTTTGTAGTATTTGTCAATATTTTATTTTTTCTACTTCCGATTTTGAGCGGACGATAGCTGTCAAAAATGCCTGAACGTAAAATAAATGAATTCTTTTCGGTATGTCATATTGTAAGGTAAATGTATGCTGCCCACATTTTTTTCAAATC